TAGAGGTTGTTTGACCTTGTTTTCGCAACATGGTCATATTGGTTGGAAGACTTATTGGAACGCACCTAGTACGGGGTCCATTGTCTGCATGATCATTTCCAAAGTTGAAGCGTAGACGTGGTACATTCCCAGACGTTTCGCCGGCATCGTAGTCGGGATCATCAGTGAGTCTCGCCATTCTTAGCACCATTCAACAACTCGTCAAAGAGACAAGAATATACTCAAGGAAATGCATACAAATAGGAAATTGACAGATGGATGATAAAATCTCTAATCAAAACTGACGCAAGACCAGCGACAGCTGACGATAACAAAGGGGAATAAAAAACTTTTCACCGGTCTGCCAACACAACACGATAAGATGGATAAACTTGAATGTTCTGGAATTTATCGCATCAAATGCGGAAACTGTGAGCAAAAGTATATCGGTGAAACAAAACGAAAAATCGGCCTACGAATCAAGGAACATCAGAGACTCTGCAGGAACATGGATACACAAAGATCAGAAATAACGGAACACATTGCACGAACGGGGTATGAAATCGAGTGGAAATCGACCGAAAGGTTGGCTGGATGTGGTGAAAATACAAGAAAACGCAAGATCCAAGAGGCCATCGAAATACGGACCGAGAGAAATCTAATGAACAGGAAACTTGAAGAAGACAGGATCAGCGAAAACTTTGCATATTGCCTAAACAAACTCGGAGAAGACCAGGCAACATGAAGATCAGCAAAAAGAAGACGACTGGAACAAGGTAATATTCTTAATTTTAGGAAAAGAGATCGCAATGAGATGAGAAAGAAAGAATCAGATGCAAAGAGGATACGTCTTCAGTGAGCCTTATCAGAACAAGTAGAACCACGACATTTGTGGGTTGGAACACAATAGACTAGTAAATAGGAAGCGATGGACATGGTATTACAGATAGAAACAGGAAAGAGGCGGTAGAGACTAGAGCTATTTGGCTAACAATAAACGTGTTTGATCATAAACGTGATCATGGAATCACGACTATTGTTAGCCAACCCGCTTTAGCTTCCACTGTTTTTATCCTCTTTCTATCTCTAATACCAAGTCTATGACTTCCCATGCCATAGTCTCTTGGGTGCCAACACGCAAACGTTGTGGTTCAACATTAAACCAAATCAGAACAAGCTGTACCACAGCATTTGTGTGTTGACACACAAGAGACTAGGGCATGGGAAGTCATAGACTTGGTATTAGAGATAGAAACAGGATAGACGCGGCGGCGATAGGAGCTAGGGGGCTGACAGTAGGCCTGTTTTTAACATAAACGTGGTCCATGTAGAAAATGAGTCACCATGTACTTACACAGAGTTTTTAGCCTCGAATTAATCACCTAGACACAGGGGAAGGACGAATAACGCCTAGAGCAACACAGATTGGGTGGCAGGAGTCGAGTGAAATATGTGAATCAGGGAGAGAGTAGA